GGTGTCATGATAATATAAACTCTGTTAGTAAAATTAAAGCCAAAATGGATTTAATTTATAAATCGCCTGAAATCAGATGCACAAAGGATCAAAAAGATATAATAGACACGGCTTTTCCAACTGGACATTTCAGCTCTGACTTACCAGGATCAGATGACGGTTCTTCGGCGACAGAAGGAAGTTTAGAAAGCAAAAAAATTCAAATTTTCAAACAAAGAAAATTTTATCGGAATGAAAAAGACAAAAATATAAATATATTTTTGGAACAATGTTCTGAAAATTATTTTACAGCACCAAATGTTTTGAATTTAATGGAGTCAAGAGTCGAGTTTCAACGTTTTATTGGTTGCTGTATGGAGCTTAATTTGATAGCCGTAACAACATGTTCAGTCGAACGATCGTTTTCTCTAATTAAAAGAGCATCAAGACCAAATCGTAAAAATTATTCGAGAGAAATCAGAGTCGAGACAAAAGAAAGATTGTCTTTCTTAAACAGAAACACTTCGAGAGATCGATTTGTGCCTTCAGTTCAATGTCAACAATATACAGAAAGTGAATTGTGAATTTATTTCACTTAATATTTTTTATAATTGAAAACTGTTTATAAATATCAATTTTTATAGTTTCAGTTTTTAATTTAAACTTAATATAAAAAAATAAAAATAAAAATAAACAATTGATGATATATAATGTTATAGTTTTTGTTAATATATTTAATACATAAATAAATTAAAATAATTAAATATTCAAGATATATTATAATATAATATATTTTTGTAAGTAAAATAATTATAAATAAAAACTTGCTATTGTGTTTATCAAAAATATTTAAATAAACTTTTGTTGAAACTGAAATAAAAAAATACATTCTTGTGTGAGTTTATAATAATAAGAGATAATATAAATATCATATGAAAAAATAATAGATAGTTCATTCTTGTTGACATTTGACATAATCTGATTTATTTGTAATACAGTGTATTCAAGTTAAGCTACTACAAGTAAATAATTCGTGTATATACAACAATAAAATCAAAATTTTCACTTGCAAGAAATGATCGTTAGAGTTCTGAATACAATGAACAATACAATAGCGATATTTATTGGTGTTATATAAACAACATGTTTTTGTTTGTATTAATTAGTTGTAACTAGACAACAAATAATGTAAGCACGTTTGTTTTTATAATTGTTTTCAGAATCATCAAATTGTCAAAAACAGCAAGTACATTTGGATTTGACAAATACAAAAATACAAACTTAACACAAATTAAGTTTCATCTGCTGCAACAACACGTTTTAAATTTGATTGTTTGTACAAAGTAAACGACATAAATAAATTTAGCAATGGATAGCAACAACTCCATTTTAGTAAAACTAATATTGATCAATTAAAAGTGATTGACAAATTGTTAAAATAAATATCAAAACAAGATACATTTAAATAATACATTCAAAAAACTGTTTAACAATGATCTTATTATTTCAGTTGTTTTCAATAATATTATAACAATAAGAATGACGTGGATTTTGTAAATATTAAACCTCTAACACACTTTTGTTGTATTATTCAATTGTGGATATATACTTTTGTTTATATAAAACAATTCATAAAAATTAAAATTGATACTTTCAAAATAAACAAAAATACATTTTATATTTGAGAACTTTATCAAACTTAACTCGAAAACCCAAATTAAATTTAATCAATAATCAACAGAAATAAATTGTGCGATTTAATATTTGTATTATTGTTTTTTGAGCATGTTCTTTATGTTTCAGAAAAATATTGCTTTAAGTTTATTACAGGTATAAACTTTATACCTTTATAAAAATTTATTGCAATGCTTTAATAAATTATTAACACTTAACTGATAGCAGTTATTAACAAAATATTTGTATATTGTTGTATACATATAACAAAGAAGTAATTTAAATATTTAATGAAATTAAACCACAAAGTGATCAATATACACAAAAATACCAATTTATACATACATACAATGTATTTTTTTCCAATACCAAAGTTAACATACTAAGTTGTGGATTTAATATTATCTTTGAATACACAATGAACAGTAATGTTTGATGCTATGGTTTTTATATGTATATTTTAAATTAAAATTGATTTTCTTTTTGTAAATATCGATCTATATTAAAAATGATTATATAAATTATATAATATAATCGATACGTTTTTTATTATAAAACAATTTGAATACACGTATTTTATTAGCCACATTATACCACAACCATTTCCTATCTTCTAATTTCCCGTTTCATTGACATGTTACTGTGTCTTGTTTTAGATTTAACATTTTTCATAAAAATGTAACTTTAAATATGAAATAAACATTGAATTTATTGGCCAGTTTTTGTCCTGCCTGTTGAGTTCTGACTCTGCCACATACTTAACCACATGTTTATATTTACATTTACAAATAAATAGTCATTTTCAACAACCAAAAACACAAAAAAATATTTAATATTTTATGGTTCGATTATGGTTTGTTTTCATTAAAAACTCTATTTTCAAGTAATAGTGATTCACGTTAAAATATTCTTTTTCGAATCAGCTTGTCTACATAGTTGGTTAAATATGTGAAATCACATCGGGCGACAACAACGAAATGATGAAGTGTCAAGTGTCATATAACAAGGTAATTTTAATGAAAATACCATTACGATTTATTTTATGATTAAGAAATCATGGGACTGGTAAATATGAAAACAATTTCTTGCTGCAAAAGCTCCACATTATAAGTGTCGACAATGTGATATAAAAATACAGGAAGTAATCAAAAGTAACTTAAAATGTCCACAACGTAATAGCATGCGTCGATTTGAGCATGCCCGATAAAAATTGATTGTATGGCTGGTATTTTTATTTCTGGAAATAGTATTTTATTTTTATTTGTATAAACCGAATTCAATTTTAATACAATGTTTTTACCTTTTCTGTTTTTCTGTTAAAAAGCCATTAAACTATTAATGGCTTTATTAAACAAATCGGGTCTTGTGTTTTTTTGATTTTTTGCATTTGTTTAATTAAATATTTCGGGAATTTTAATTTATTAATTACTATTGAATTATTACTTTTTTCTGTACTATATTTGATTGTTATTATATGGTTAATTTTTAAGTTTTAATATTATCATAATACTTATAAAATAATAAATATAATATAATACATTTTTACATAAAAAATAAAATATATTTTTAGATGGGGAATATAATATGGTATATTAATAATTAAAAATACAATTGTTAATAACTTCTGTACGGCTACGCCACGTATTTCCCTCCTTATGTTTTTTATTTTGCCAAACAACAAAAAAATGTCTAACTTTGTATATACAGTCAAAGTCGCTTATTTGTGGGGTTTCTTGCATAAAAAGCTGTCTATTTGTAGGTTTTGCTAAGAATTTGGAAGAATATTCTTTGATTTATTTTAATCATCAAAAAATAATAAAAATAACCATAATTATAGTTTTTAGTCTTTTACTAAAGTCTATTGTAAATTGTTGTTTGCGTGACAAAATAAATACACAAGATAAGCCTTGAAAAAAAGGAATTAGAAAAAAGTTGGGAAACCAAATAAAATTAAATAATAGTGTTTTTGGAGATTTTTCAACAGTTTCCCATAATATTACAATTTTAATGGTCCAAATTTTTATTATTATCGTTTTTAGACTGATAATATAATTACAGATACGAGTCTAAAGTTTCGACGAATAATAAGGTTTCATTTTATTATTTGAATACTATTTGAATAATAATGAACATGGTTCTTAATTATTTTCAAAAAATTGTCCAAATATAACTCTAATAAATAATTTATACAATGGTATCATAATTATTAATTATTAGTCGAAACCTAAGTACCACATTTGTATTATCAATCAAAAAATATTATTAATTATAGTATTTTTTTAATAAAATATAAAAACAATTATTAAATATTGAAACCATTTTAACAAAAACTTAAAATAATTAGATTAAATAAGTTAAAAAATACAAAAGAAGTCTTATTCCATATTAGATTTTGTTTCTTATGCACTCAAAAATATAGTTAATTTTAATTGATTTCAATTAATTATTCAGTTTCGAGAAGATACAACCTATTTGTATGTTTTGATTTTGATTGGTCAGTTAACCCACAAATACGAAAACCTACAAATAAGCGACTTTGACTGTATTCATATATATCTCAAATGTTATTAATATTTATTTATAACGAAATTTAAAATAACAAAATTTAAATTATACTCGATAATTTCATTTTGTATTCAATTCCATTTTATTTTTATTAAATTTCACTTTTATTGTTGTTAATTACATTAAATTTGGATTTCATATACAATTATTTTCAAACTATTTTATTTTTTATATCTTACAACACTCAACATAAAACTCGTATTTTGATTCTCTCACTACGCTATTAATTAATTAAAATTGAAACTTTTTTCTAATATTAATTTTCAATAATTTAATAACAACAGTTTGAATATTTCGTTATTTTCTCTGTTGCTACGTTTATGTTTTGAAAAAACAGCATTAAAAATAAAAACGGTAACTTTTTAGTGTGTAAACATAGAAATATTAAACTATAACTTTAAAGATAAATTGTAATTAAGAGAATATCACATTTTACAACAATTTTGCGTTCTAGTTGCATATATATACGTGCAAATAAAATATTAGAATCAATTATCTTCTATTCTAAGTAATAATTGTTTTTTAGAAACAATCTTTTCTCAGGCAATTTTGTTTATCCTTTATTTTTGTAATTGGCTGAAACATGTTATGTGAAGTTGATATACAAACAATACATTTAAAATTTGATTACAAGTATAATACAGTAAAAGAGTTTTTATTGAATATACATTTTATGAGTAAACTGAAATTAAATATTCAACAATTTTTTGACTTGAAATCAAATTTTTGAACCTCCCAAGATTATATTGGTCAACAACTGCACAGATTGAGAGAAAATGTGGTTAAATAGACAAATCGTCATCCTTATTTTCCTTATCCTCACTTTGCTTTTTTGTTTCTTGTTTTCTTTGTGGCATGACTTTCTCCAACGCTGTTTTCCAATTTTTACATTGACAGAACTCTCCAAGTATTTCAAAAACTTGATTCACTGTAAGAACCTTTCTTCCAAGACACACAACGTTTTCGCTTATTGGTAGTCGTGCAGTTTTAATCCCAAGTTTCTCGGCTTTCTCGTTGCACAGCCCTTTAAACTTATTATGGTCGACAATACCTCCAATAACGTAATAAGTATCCTCGTCGATACTTTCAAGGACATTTTTACTTTCTGCGGTGAGGTAAATACAATTGACGATATCTTTCACCGTATCAATTTTTTCATCCTCAAAAGTGACGCCCTTCCAATTCTGTCCATTCACCTTTGTAACGCTCTCCTTTATTCTTCCGTCGACTCCTAAACACCGTATTCGGAGAGGCTTGGTGTACTTCCGATTTTGTCCATAGAGCATCTGGATTTGGTTGAAGAAAGACTTCTCTTCTCGTTCGTTCATCTTGTCGCCAAAGTCACAGTCAATGATAAGGTTTCCCCCAAAGACGGTATTTTCATCGATTTTTGTTCGTTTAGGGAGTTCTTCCCCGTTTTCCTTCCTTTTTTTTCGCTCCTCTTTAGCTCGTTCTTTCCGCTTTTTTCGCACTTCACATCGGGTCTCTTTCCACATTTTATCTTTGTACTCCTTTTTCTCAAGTTTTCTTTGTTGTCTTTTACTCATTTTTTCTTCGGATTTCTCAACTGGTTCACTTTTTGTACCTTTATCGTCAACTTCAGTTGCAACGGTTTGATGAGTTTCAATCTCTTTCCACTTCTCCTCACTCATTTATTATACTGATGAAATACAATTATAATGAGTTTATTTTTTAAACCCTTTTCATTCAAGTAATTACTCTGTATTATATTTCATTATACATTTTATTAATATTAATTAATACTTTTTTTGACATTTATTTATATTTATAAGTATGTATACTATATAATTATAATTACTATATAATTATAATTATATGATTATATAGTATGGATGCTTTTTTTAATACATTATAGTTCAATAATATAATTTACTAACTATAATCCAATTATTAAAAATTAAACAAAACTCTTATTAAGTAATATTATTATTTATATAGTATTATTAGTATTATGTTTTAAAGTATTTTGTCAACAATCTTTAAAGTTTAAACATCACAGTCAAATGGTTTTCCTCGAATCATTCTTTTTAAAAAATGTCATCCTATATCTCGAGTCTTTAGATGACGTTTTAAATTTCATGTTAATAAATCGAACGTGCTGTCAATCAGTCCAAACGCTCTATATAACTCCATACAGAATAACACAAACGAATAACATTTTAGATGTGATGGATTACTTTCCAAGTCTTGAGACGATGTATCTGCACACCCCCAAAACCGCAATTTTGAGATCTGTTGGGAAAGAAGTTCCCAATTTTGAGATCTGGGTTCCAAAGCCGTATAGCTCCTTTTCTAACCTTTTTGAAACGAAATGGCTTCCGCCGAAGATAAAGAAGTTGCGAGTGTCGTATCCGGACTTTCTGAGTGTTGCGAAGAACTTTTCTGTCTATCACAACCTCAAAGAACTTTCACTTGATTTGTTTAATATTCAGTCGCGGGACTTACAAATATGTGGCGCATTGTTAAGTCTTCAAACCCTACGAAGAGTCGTTCTGTATATTCCATTAAGTGCATTGGACCACTTTTTAAGTCTTAATTGTGTCGCACGAAAAGAAGTGAACTTTGTGTTTGTTGTTCTGAAGCAATTTTGTCAGATTAAAACGACTCCGAACGAGACGGACTTTCATCCACAAAACTTCAAAAAAAATTGTGAAAACGTCAAAGTGTTCTTCCAATTTCTGTCAGAAGAAACAGTCGACTTTGATTTCCTCCCAATCACAGAAAGCCAACAGTTTTATATTGAAGGCGAAAATACAGGACTTTTTGTTTGTAGTGAAATGGCAAATCAAGTCGATTTGATTCAAAGACGAATTGATGAAGGATTGTTCACTCGAGTTGTTTTGTACCAAACAAAGGAGAGGTATACACTGGCCGTGATGAAGAAACAGATACTAAAAAGAGTCACTGCAGATTTATCGAGTATAATTAATGTGAAGACTTTTGTTGTGACTCACGTGAAGGTGAGAAATTTCATCTTCCCAAAATGTGTTGAACATGTGTCTATCAGTGATGTGACCGGCTCCTTTACAATTGAGAGTAAAAAGGTGAAGACTTTTAAGTTGTGTTGTAGTCGAGTGGATGTCTTTAATTTGTGTGTTGACAACATTAGAACTCTTGATATTGAAGGCGGGGAGGTTGTTATACTTCACAGAAATAACATTTTCAATAACACTTTTGTCGTCGATCTGGAAAAAACTGAATATTTCCGTTTCGAGGTCGGAAAGGGTCTACCTAAAGTACTCACATTTGTGATTGAGAATGACGGAAAGAGAATGAGTGAGGTGAAAGCAAGGAGTTTAAAATTTGTGAAAGAGGAAGGACGACTTAATGTGGGTGGTCCTGTTGGTGATATCAATTTAGAACACATCAATTTATCTGTTTTAAATATTACTGGTGTGGTGGAAATAAAAAATAATGAAGAAGAAATTAATAATATTAGAATTGGAACTATTGGAAAGGCAAGTTTTTTTAAAGGAGAGTTTAATACATTACAATTGAAGCAGGTCAGAGAACTTAACCTTCATAACTGTACTATTCAGAAACTAAAAGTTGATACAGTGAACAAATTAAAAGAAGAAAAAACAGTTGTTAAAGAAAAACTAATAAAAAATTGGAAACAAAAGTAAACTAATTAGTAGTAATAACTCTTATTAATACAATTATTGATTTTTTTATAGTAAAAAATTGGTTTGAAAAGTTGTATCTTTTTTAAATAAATACTATAAAATTAATAATCATTAATTTAATTATCATAAATAAATTTTAATAATTACAATTATAACATTAATATAATAAAATCAATTAATTGGTTTAAACCCCATAATACAATTTGAATGAAATGTTTGATATTAAGAGTATAATGAAATTAATAATTAATACAAATTCATGACTTTTGTTTCCAGAAACCAAAAGTAGACAATTTGATAACAATTTCTTTGGTATAAAACTTCTATGTAATACATTGAAGATAATATATCAACGGATATTATTAAATAATAATATTTTTTATATATGTTTTTATTTAAATTATAATAATTAAAGTTATTTAATAATTCGTTTATATTATGATTAATTATTGAAATTTACGTCGTTTCAATAACTATGAACACAATGTTAGCACTCTAATTTTAGTTTTTTTAATTATAATATCTTTTATATATGAAAGTAAATTTTGTTATATTTTAATAAATATCATATTGTAACAGTTTATTCAACATGTGTTATTTAACAATAAGTTTATTCTTAACAAATTTAAAACAAACTTTGGTGATATTTATAATAATATTAGTTTGAACTTTAATAAAACATTTGTAATATTTAATTGATAAGTGTTTTCAATATTTGAATCAGTCGTTTGAAAATTCAACACCAATAAACAATTTTTATATTTAAAACGTTTTTAATCAAACTTAAATACCTTTTTCAAAAATATATACATATTTTAAATAAAGTTATTAATAATTTGAATTTAAACGTGTTTTAATTTATAATAACAATACTTTTATTTTATCATTGTATTTCAAAATATACCTTTTCTTTCATGTTATTGTTTAAAATATATGATAATGATACTAAAATCGAAATGAATATCATCATTTAACTTTTTAAACAAAAACAAATAATAATATAATTTTGATACATTGTTTTTAGCGTTGATATATCATTCATTCCAATTAAGTTCATCATTTCAAAAAGTTTCCTTTATTTAAATTCAATCACCACAGTCAATTTTTATTTGTTATATGATATTTTAATGACAAAAAAATGAATTCAAAAAAAACATTTTATAACTCCATCCCAGTTGTTTCGTATTTTTAACGCAATTTATTATATGCCTGTTGTTTACATAAAATAAAGGTTATTATTTTGCCACTTAATTGCGTTTATAGACAAACACTATTAAAAATTTGTAAATGAACCTTATTGTTTTATTTAATATTAAATTAAATAATTGCCGAAGCCCATTCAATTGTTATTATTACCTAAATAAAAAACGACAATTGAAATATTCTTACTAAATTTCAACGCGTTCTCTTAATTTTTCAAGACATTTAACATATCACAAGTTTAACAATTTGATCAATCTATTTTTCTAGTTATTTTAATATGCAAAAGTCGAATTATTAAACTTCAAAAAATATTTACTCAAATAATTGTTTTTTTAAAAAAAACAGTAAAAACCACTCAAAGATTTTGTAGCAATAAAATTCGCAAATCATTTTGTATTCTTTTCTAAAAAGAGAAAAAAATTTCACATCCCAAAAAGGTCTTTCCATTGCAAAAGTGATTTAAAAATTTGATTTTTCTATTTTCTTTTCTATTTCCAACACACTTTTGGGTTCGATACTGAAAGAAAAAAATTCGTAAAACTCTAATTATCGCGACAGCGAAAAGCAGATATTTTTATCTCATGTCGCAAACGGCGTATGACTTTATACTTTCAAATTGCCCAGACGTAAACTCGGCGTTTAATTTAGTTCAAAAAGCAGTCACGGAACACGTGAAAACGTCTCATTTAGTGCTTCCCACAAACATCGATGCCTTAGACATTGATACGGCCATCTTGAAACTACACGAGTGTGTCACCACGGAGGAAGTGAGTGAAGAGAACTGTCTTTCTGTATCTCGACAGATCAAGAAGACATTAGCGCTCCTCAGCGATATGACAGATCTTTTAAATGCAGCACAGAAATTATGTGAAAAAGATGGAGAGGACATCGTCGTGTTCCGCAACATCGTTTTGCAAGAGATCATCACCCGAGAAAAACGACGAAGCGACGAAGAACTGAAAATGAACACATTCCGGAAAGCGCAGATCCGCGACGAGTTCGAGTCGAAAAAGGACAGACTGACATTGCTTCGCAAGAAATCGATCTTCGTCGAGAACGAGACGCAAGAACATCATGAAAATACTCAAACAGAGAATATCTCCGAACAACGACGGGAGATGAGTAAACCCTTTCAAGTTGAGATTATCAAAACAAGTAAAAATGAACGAACAACTCAATTAGAGAAGAAGCAAAAACAGGAGAACGATGAGAAAGATACAGATGACATCGAGTGCTCTTCGGTGTCTGACGCTGTACCTCACATCAAAGAAAGACAATTCGAGATCACTCAACTCATCAAAGAAAACGACACAACGGAGATTTTCAACCAAAACGACAAGAACAAAGAGATGGAAGACATTAGAAAAAACACTGAAAAAAAATTTGACCAAAAAATTAACAAAAATTCCTACAAAAACGAAACAAAAGCGAAAAAGGAAGACGACTCAAGTGAGATTATCACTGTAATACTCCAAAACGAAAGTGATCAATCAGAAAAAGAAGAAAAATCGGAAAAAGAAGACGAAGAAGAAAAAGAAGAAGACGTGTCACAATCTCCCGACAGAACGACGAGAAAGCCATGTATGAAATCCCCGAAGATTCCACTTCTTGTTATCAAAGGCCAACAACCGGGGAGTGGGCACAAGGCGGTCAAAGTATATAAGAAGACGTTTTACCCGAAAATCTCATCTAAAAATCTCCGGAATTACAAGAAGCCCGAGATCCCCGATAAGGATGAGTTCCCGGCGAAGGGTGAGATTGTTCCGGACCTTCAACCAGAAGTGAAGAACAGTGAAATTCCAATAATGACTGACGCCGAGTCTTCTCAAATTGAAGAGTGGAGTGGGAAGAGAGTTACTGAGTGTGTGTTTGATGTTTGGCGAGACAAGTCGAAGTATTGTAGTAAGAAGTTAGTGAGCCGGATAGGGGAGTGCGACGAATTTGTTGTTGTGATGTCCGGAGAGGGTAGTTTGTTTGGTGTTGTGATGCACGAGAAGGTAGATAGAGATGGACAGTACTTTGAAGATAAGAAGTGCTTCTTGTTCTGTCTTCGTGAGAATGGAAATGTAAGAACACGGAAGTACAATATCAAAGAAAAAATGAGTAATGTAGCGTTTAGTATCGGAAAGGTCTCCGGGAGAAACTTCTTCGAGATGGGAGACGGAGATGTAAAGATGTGGAGAGGAAGAGATGATAGCAAAATGCTTTGTAAATGTAAACAAAACGCTTTTAAATATCAAGAAGTGGGTGAGACAGTATCCGGAAAGGAAGAAAATGAAGAACTCGTTGTCGAGCGCTTTGCTGTGTTTAAATTGGAGTGACAGTGATGGCTTGTTCTTTATAAATTGTCATTTATAATTGAAATTGAAAATGTTAATGTCGGTGTTTAACTATAAAAGATGTTTGTTTAATTGTTTATTATAATATAATAATATAATAATATAATAATATAATAATATAATAATATAATAATATAATAATATAATAATATAATAATATAATAATATAATAATATAATAATATAATTAAATCAAAATATTATTATAACCCAATTAAATAAGAACCTTTCGTTTGAGAAATCGAAATTTATTGAATTATAATAATTAATAAATTATAGATCACTAATAAATTTTATTGTTTACTTAAAAAAAAGATCTTTTAATTGAGTTGTACACCTCCCAATTAAAACATACTAATACCAAACGATTCTCTATAGACACTACAAATCGGCTTAAATAAGTGTAAAGTTTTATATAAGTTTATATAGGTTTAACTATATAATAATATTTTGTTAAACCCACTTAATGATTGTATTTGAACTAATATTCTAATTAATATAAACTATTTGTTTTTATAATTTGTTTTTAAAATCAAAGAGTTTACCAACAACTATTATAAAATATTATAAAAATAACCAATTTTATAGTACCTGTAATATTCTATTATTATTATAGTAAAATTTTTTCAAATCAACATTATTAATTATAATGGACGTTTTCACACCGATTTTTTTGTCGAAGGAAATAACTTAAAAAAAGAGAGAATGGAGAATGAAGTGGTGAGTGTAGATGACTCCGAAGACTTAATCGACATATTTGAAGACAAGCACCCTGACCCATTTGCGTGTAAAGTGCTTTACCAATCAAAGACGATAACATCCAAACCGCCACTTGTAACAATTCCAAAGCGTCGTCCGTCCGTTTTGTGTCGAGATGTAGACGGGAAGACGAGATGTGTATTAAAAGTCGACGAACACGTGACGACGGTACTTGATGTGGATATTGAAAGTTTATCACCGCGAGGTGTTGAGTCGAAACAAAGTGGTGATTCCAAGAAACAGTCACACATCATCGACATTGATATGGATGGTCCACAAGACTTTGCCAAGACTGCCGACGACGACGACGATTGTATTCTCGAGAAAGTAGTCAAAGGTCCATTAAACACTTTAAAAGTGTCTCCGTCGTTTCGTGGAGTTGTGACGCTTCCCGGTCACAATTTTGAATATGAATATAAAGAGAAGTTGAGAAAGAAGTATCAAATCACTCCACGGGATAAAGCGATACGAACAGACATCACTATGAGAAGGGTCTTCACCGTTGATACGGACAATACCAAACTCCGCGACGACGCGTTTCATATTGAAGTGCTTTCAGACAATCGATTTGAGCTTGGGATGCACTGTGTCGACACGACCGACTTTGAAAAAGTGTGTGGGGTGGACTCCTTCTTGAAATTGGACGAAGAACTTTCACGTGCGAAGCACGTCAAACGCGAACGATATGGAAATAAGACGGAGAAAATGGCAAAGAAGTTCTTTTCGCTGGACATTGGGCAAGTCCGCCGCGCGATTTCGATCATCGTTGTGTTGAATGCGAACGGGGAAGTTGTAGAGAACCCGCAGATGTGTCAGTCACTTATTTCTGTGAAGTGCAATATGAATCAAGAGCAATTTGAGTGCATTTTAAAGAAAAAGGCGAGTGGTGATGCTAATGAATGGAGCTCGTATGACACGACGGAGACACATAACTGCGGAAGAGTCGTTGGAACGACATTACAACAACTGAAGAATGACGTGATAAGTATCCACAACATATTTTGTTATCATCTTGGGAAAGTCCACTCGGAAAGACTCAACGGAAGTGTTCTAGTTGCGGAATTGGGAAGGTTTGTTGGAAGGTACATTGGAATGTTTCTTGAAATGAGATATGGGGAGTACGCGATGGTACAAAGAGTAAATGGAATGGTCAAAACACACTTCAGAAGTCCTTTAAGGAAATTCCAAGACACAGTCGTGCTGAAACAATTGGTGTGCGCTATGGGGAATAAAAGTGTGCTTGAAATGACGAAAAAAACACTCGGAGTCGAACCACTTCTGTTCAAAAGATTTGTTTATAACTTTGCTCACGGCCGCTACGTATATTGATTTGTTATTTGGAAATTTGTTGGTGCATTTGAGTCGAGACTTCTACAGTTGAAAAAAAATAGTCGGAGACCAAATAATTGTAAGAAGTAAAATAAATAGTTTTAAAACTTTAATTAAGAACTATTATAAAAATAGATTTAAGTTTCTTACCATTTTTTTATGTACTCTTTTTTTCACTTTTTTAAAACCCGTTATTTTTAAAATAATGAATGGGAATTACACCCTTCTAACAATTATTTGGACAACTGTAAGTAGAGTGTCCAAAAAACGTCTAAGTCCTAAGTTAAGGAAAGGTCAAAAAAAATGTTTTGAAATATAGTAAAAAGTTTCTTTTTGTGGGTTTTTAAACGTATATTTGTGGGTTTATCATGGAATTGTGAAGTAAATTCTATTCATTATTTTTTCCATTAATAATGAATTTTTATAAAAAATACAAATAATTTACAATTTATTAAATTAAATAAAAAATCACATAGTTAAGCAACTCTTTTTATCTTTTATAATTATGTTGTTCGTTTGAGCTATTTTGATATTTTTCTGCATCTCATTTTCCGCATTATACTCCAATATATATTCAGCAAGTACATTAGTTAATGAGTCGACTTGTTTTCCAGTTTCAACATATTTACAATTTTTCTTTTTGGCAAGTTCTTCGGCTAGTGTTCTTGGAACAACTCGTGTATCTTCAAGGTCTTTTCGTGTACCAACTATCAAGAATTTAGTCGTCTCAACTTGTTGTGGATTCAAATCATTTCTCAATTTGTCGACCATTTTGTCTGTCCACACAAACATTTCAAATGATTGGACTGAAAAAAACAACACTATAACATTGGCCATGCTTTTTGTTATTGCTCTTCTTAAAATAAACAATATTGATGAAACAAAAATGTTAGTCAAAATATATATGATTTGTTACAAAAATTGTTTAAGATTCAAGAATGGTTTGTCAATGAGAGAAAAATACAAACTTAAGGTAAATTTTTAAAAGTGAAATATACCTTTCTTGTCCTGCTAATAATAAGTAATTTTATAATATAAAATTTATTGTTTATTAACATAATTTTTTTTAAAAAAGAGCCAAACCAGTATCCCAAAAATTTGGACTGACAAAAGTTCTATCGATATAAAACGTTTTAGACTGTTTGTGACATTTTTGTGTTGTTGTTTAACCTATTGTATTCAAAACAAACTACATGATATGCACCAATGGTGCTTGTTGAAATTGGATTTAATTCTCCACGAATCCCAGTCAACGCAACTGTTTTACCAGCAGTAGAATCGCCTATAAACAGAAATTGTTCTTGTTGAGGTGTTATTGACATTGATTTGGGTTTTTGAGTTTATATTGGTAAATGTTTTAATATAAAATTAAAATAATTAAATTATCGTTTAAATTGAAAAATCATTTTATTATGAATAGTTGTTTTTGTAATTAAAAAATAATTAGCTTAGTGTTGAACAGTAGTTTCCAAAATCATACCAATTACCCACGTCACCGTATAAAAACTAAAATATTCATTGAGAATTGTGGATTCACAACGGCGTTATCGACAGTGTTTTTCATGGCATTTCTGACGACGTCCTATGTTTTCTTGATTGTTATGCCAATGATAACCAGGCTAATAACAAGCGCAGCAACAGCGGCAGTAGTGGCAGCCGCGATTGCAGCTTTATTATCGACTTAATTGTATAAAACACGCGTTGCGGTTTTATCTTGGATCTCCCCGTTGACAATGCAATTACCACAAGCTTCTGACGAGAAAGTGTTTATCATAATCACTGAACATGGCAAGTACCCACCCACTTTCTGAGACCACAGAACACTCACAATAGAAACACAATTTGGCGTATTTCGACGTGTTGGGGAACTCAGCATCTATGTTAGTATGATTTAACAACAACAACTTTAATGCAATTTAAGAACTCAACAAATTGCACAATCAGAGGTTCTACGATTTGTGGAGATTATAACTTTAAGGATTTTGCAGCGAATGCAAATAATTTCTCAATTATACAAACGTGTAAAATCAGGCGGAAAAAAAATGTCCGTTTAGACGTTTATCCCCATTCATTTTTTAAGCTAAGACTAGTTTAATTTTATAAGTTTTTTACTTTTTTACTTAATTTTTATAACAAAAACATATTTATGAATAAAATGTTATTCTTAATCATCATTTCTCAAAAAATATTTTTTGGATTTCTTTTGAGTGCAAAGTGAATTTTTCAACTACTTTATATATTTTTATATTTATTTTTATATTTTTTTATTAATTATTGTTCATAATATATAATTCATATATTTTTTTACATTTTAAATGACTTTTAAATATTTTTGTTTGGTGAAAATTTAAACACAGAAAATCAAATTAAAATTCAAATTAAAAATGTCTAAACTTGATACTTATCACATCATGGTTGTCTCGAAATATTTTGAGACGATTGGAGATTTTATAAAACTGGAAACTGTGTGCAAGAAGTACAAAAACACTATGAAAAAGTTTCATTACAATCCAGTTCCAGTCACAGACAAAACGATCAATTATTTTTCAAAAATTGAAACACTTTATTTGTATCACAAAGAAGATGAAATTCTTAAAAATTTATTTTTAATCAACACGCCGAATAGTGATTATTGTGAAAAGACACACAAACCAAAAAATAAAGGTGCAATAAAAAAGTATTATAGAATTATAGTTTGGTTTAATGTAGATTTTACAATTGTCGACAAAAACAAAAAATATAAAAATGTTATATTTAAGAATGTGACATACACAAAACACGACAGAGAAACGTTTGGTGATACTATTCCATTAATAGTCAAATCAATTGGCGAAAAATGTTTTTATTTTAATACTACTTTGATTAATCTTACTGTTCCTTCAAATGTAACTTTATTTGGCGATTATTGTTTTTGTCATTGCAAGAATCTGGTGGGTGTGATATTACAACCGACAGTTACAAAATTGAGTTATGGATGTTTTGCTATGTGTGAAGAACTAAAAAGTATAGAAATACCATTAAGTGTTGTGTCTATTGGTGATTATTGTTTTTTCGAGTGTTACAGTCTTATAAATATTACAATAACATCAAACGTTAAATCAATTGGGTTTGGTTGTTTTGGTGAGTGTTACGCTCTGACAACTGTGAATATATTTTCACTTGATGTGTCAATTGATAGTGAGTCTTTTCCTATAAACACAGAAGTGCATTACATATATTGATTTGTTGTCTTTGTAAATAATACAGACCCTGGAAAAACCGACCGGCAAACTATAAAAATAGTTTCTAAAAACCATTTAATAGTTTTTTTAATAAAAATTTTGAAAAAAAAAGACAAAACACAAAAAAACTATAATATACTATAAATTATTCTATGCCGGTATGTTTTTCTGGGATCTGTAGAATGTTTTTTATTATAACAAAATACTTGAAGAATTTCAAGTATATTGGGGAATGCTTTAAAACTTCGAAATAAATACAATGTTAAACATAATAAATTAATATTTTTTATTATTATTCAAAATAACAAAAACCCCCAATTATCCGTTTTCACTCACTTTTTTGAACAATTTTGATTTATCTGTTTGTGGAAGGAAAATGGATTTATTAACTGGCCAATATAATGAACGCTTTTTGTAAGTCAAGTATTGTATTTGTAAATTTGAAAAATAATTTTTTTACAAATTTTGTTTTGTAACAAATCCGTTGCGAAGTGACGGGTAAAAATTTGCAATAATTTTTGTTTTTTTAGAACGAAAAATGAGACATCTATTTTTGTATTTATCCAAAAAATAGTCATAGTTTCTCTTAACTATGATATTTGTTTTAATATGTTTATTCATGAAGTGTTATATATGACAAATATGGGATATGGTTATAATATTATTTTTGTAACAAAGAGTAATATTTTAAAATATTTGTTTTAAAAAGTTAAAAAACGAATCACTGTTAAAATACTTTTTACTTTTTATTATGAAAAATTTGAATTTCAAATTGTTGTAATGGACTCTTTGAAAACATCTATTGAAAAAATAAATTAAAATGAATGATAGGTAAATGCACTACATTTTTAATTGTAAGGTTGTTGATTTTTTGAAAATAAAATGAAAAATAAATAGTTTATTGATAATAAATTATAATATTGTTTAAGTTTCATAAATTAATAGAGTCAACTTTAATAAACACATTCTTGGATATCAAAAGTGAGTTTTGTTGTTGATAAAAAGCTGTTAACAACATGTTAAATACACCATTTGAATGTTTTGTGTCTGATCCCTGTTATTTACCAAAGAATAAGTCGATGTGTAAACCATTATTCTTGATAAAATAATAATTTTATAAATTAATAAATAAGCATAATAAATATTATTAATAATTATAGCATATAATAGTATAATATAACATAATTCTTAGGTAAAAACATTTTTAAAAATAATGTTTTTTTATTCAACACTCTCAATAAAAATTTAAATTGACATTTATTGCCATAATAATTTCAAACGAATCTCGATAAACAATTATAAATAATATATATTTATTATATTATAATATTAATTAGATTAATTAAAAACATTGATTTGTTTCGATTCACATTTTAAATAAAATAAAATTACATAAAAATAAAATCAAAAGTCAACAGATTTTAAAAATCGAATTTTGGACTATAAAAGAAAATATTTTGAACTCAAAACAGTCATTCATTGCGATATTTATAATATGCGGGGAGAGATTATGATAAAATATAATATATAATGTGTGTGAGAGCGAGATAATTATTTGCAATGGTTATTAACAACTTTTTATGGAACATGTGATAAAATGTTTGAATGTGTGTTATATGATAAATAAATAAAAACGCAATTCATTTCAGAAATAATCCATTTTATCCACAAAAATATAAATGATTCGTTTTTATTCATTGGTTATTTTTTGGTTTCATTGAATTTTTTTATTAATTTCTAAAATTACAAAACAACAAAAACAAAAATAGAAATTAACGTGTTTTAACTTCCCAAAACTGCAGAACAGGGTTTTTCTTTTCCAAAATACGTGTAAATATTGTTTTTTTAAAGTTTCTAATAAATTCCCCAACTAGTTTATACACTCCCTATAATCAATTAATTAATAATGAATTGAAATTGGCAAATAATTAAAAGCTGCATTTCAACTTATGTTTATATTTTGACATCTATTAACATAGTATTAATATTTTTACATGATATACTTATATACTCACAATAATTCTCCAATATAAATCACATATGGCGATTTATATATAAATTGAATTACTAAATAATATAAATAAATTTTTGGAAACAAAAAACACTTCAAAATGTAAATCAAATATACAAGATTTAAGTGAGCGAAGCATTGAGAAAAGCATTGACATATATAAAGATGTACCAGTGTCAAAGACTGTAGAATTTTAAGTTTTTGGATTATATACAAATTATTAAAGATATAACTAAAGAGAAAGGACGGACATGGGGACGAAGGACGGGAATATAGGCCGAAGGACGTCCTTTGTGGTTTAGGGACGTCCTCCCGCTATAAAGGACGTCCTTACTGTGTAAAAGATGTCCTTTCTATTATTTTCGTGTCCGCAGGGTTGCGAAAACTAGATAATGTACTATAATTTTACCAATAGTTTTATTAGACAGAAATATATTTATTTTTAAAAATAAATTATATTCAGAAACAAACGCCATATTATTATAAAATATATTATAAACAAATAGTTTCAACAATTAAAATGAATATTTTTATTGGTCATTTTGAAGTAAAATCAATATTTTTTGATATAGAAAAAAATCCTACATTTTCAGTCTTTAATGAAAACAAAAAACGAAAACCAAATATTTAGATGTTTTTTAATTAAAACCATAAAAGAAAGTTTAAAGTTGCAATCGACGTATATTTTCAGGCATATTTGCATAATTTTGATCATCCAAAACATCCATGACCTCTTCGAAAACAGCTGCTGCATTTTCATTTTGTTCAAAATGTAAACTATCTGCGTTTGACATTGTCCCACCATTCATTTGGAAATTTTCAAGAATCCTTCTTGCTGCTTGAGGAATTCTGATTATTATTTTGTTATTCAAAAGTGATGGGTTCAATAAAAAGAAGTGAAGATCCCACATCGGATGTATCATGATGTGATAATTATTAAAAGCATGACACAACAAAAGAATGTCTGCGTATTTATCGAGAGAGTATTTCCATTTTTTTTCTTGCGACTTCGAATAACAGAGTGAGCCTTCCAAATGAATTTTCCACAATGAGTCTACAATTGCTAACCAAAGAGTTTCTAAGCTTTGTCAATGCGTGGCGTCTTGGCTCAGAAGGGTAGGGCCAAGTTGTAATACCATTTTTAGCACCTCGGTATCCAGTATCACCCAAAAACAGTTCTCCCTCTCTGATATATTGGTCCCACTCATATAACCCGAAAATTCTAAAGTCGTGATATGATCCAGGAATTGAAGTGGTAATTCCACAAGTTAGTCCAAAGTAATTGACACTTACACTTGTTTTTATCGCTGAACAATTTAATTTTGGAGAAAAAAATACAGCGTTTGTGTATTCTCTACCACACACAATTTTGCGTTTATTTGTTACAGCGTGGTCTCTTACATCAATGGCAGTATAACACTTATCTAAACCTTTAAGGTGTTCAATAATAACTGGATCCCTGAATTTACTAAATGGTATTCTCATCGCCTCACATTTACCGACCTGAATAATCAAATTTTCTACGGCACATTTTTTGAACAAGTCTACCGCTCTCCACACTGCTCTCGACATTTCCTTTCTGTTTCTATCGCCGACTCTTTTAATAAAATGAACTTCAGTCTCATTTTGATAACGTTGAGAAGTGAGAATAATTTGGTTGACTTTCAATAAATAAAATAGAGTTTTGTAGTCGCACCCCTTATGGAGAAAAGTCATCATTATTAAAAACAGTTCATATAAAGTAAATATACAATTTTTATTTACTGACAGAACCGATACAGACATTACTGGATTTGAATAACAAAATTTATTAATTTTGTTTTCATCCAAATTCAAATCTAATTTACAAGTTGCACAACACAAAGAAAAAATTTTTTCAAATTCGTTTTTTGTGAACCCAGTGAGTGTTTTACATTCGTCATCTGAAGTCATATTAATATCAATTAGAGTGGTTGTTGAATGTGTTTCCAAATGTTGAAAGTCAGACTCAGCTGGCATGGTTAACCGACCATTTACAATAAGTTCTTCAATTCTCACAAAATACTCATCTTGTTGCTCTGACCAATTTCCATTTCTGTCTTCATATCGTGGGATTTGAGCACTTCTAATTGAGCGTTGTTCTTCTGTTTGTCGTCTTCTGATGTTTGAAGGTAGTTGAGGGTTTTGACGTGTTTCTGTAGCCGATGGTTGACGCATTACCCTGTTTTCTCGTACGGTAGTAAACACGGAAAGTGGATCACAAGGGTCCATTACAGAATCAAGAATGGAATTTGAATTATTTAAAGTTCTATGATTTTCATTTTGTTGTTCACTTGATATTTGATAAATGGAATGATCTTCAATTACAACTTGTCCACCTTCTAGACTTCTTGGTGGTTCTCTTGGAGTTTCAAAATGTTGATTATGAGTTGAAATTTGTGAAGTTGTGGGTAATAACAACTGATTTGTAGATATCGAATTTGTATTTTCAACAGCCTCGTTTTCAAATACTGTTTGTGCAAGTGAATTGTTTTGTTCATGATTTGTTGGCATTTGAGTTTCATTAGTTTGATTTAAACTCTGTTGTTCAAACACTTCTTGTTGTGTTCTTGTTTGTTCCTGTAATCCCGACTCGATGTTGGATAACAACAGTGTTGTATTGGTGACATTTTCTTCTTCTTCTATTGTAGTTTGTCTAACCGAAGTTGTGATGTGTTGATGTCCTCTTTGGGTTGGTAAATTATTAGACGTAAAAGTTACATAGCCTTCATTACCATGAAAATGTGATGTACGCTTTTTGTTTTTGCTACCATTTGGTCTGCCTCGTTTTTTTGTTTGTTTTTTAATAATGGTTGATACAGTTGTTGATTGTGATGTATGTTGTGACGTTGATAATTGTTGAGCCATTTGTGTGTTATGGTGAACAGTGTGTTGTGAATGAGGACCTACTGATATAGTGTGAACATTTGACACTTGGGGAGTGTTTAATGTTAAGGAAGTTTGTGTTGTTTGTGACGTGTTGTGCATCTGGATTTTATAGTTCATCCAACTCAATGTGTCTATTTTATGGAATATAAATCATCAATACAAATTTCGTTTTTTGTTTTCATTAAAGACTGAAAATGTAGGATTTTTTTCTATATCAAAAAATATTGATTTTACTTCAAAATGACCAATAAAAATATTCATTTTAATTGTTGAAACTATTTGTTTATAATATATTTTATAATAATATGGCGTTTGTTTCTGAATATAATTTATTTTTAAAAATAAATATATTTCTGTCTAATAAAACTATTGGTAAAATTATAGTACATTATCTAGTTTTCGCAACCCTGCGGACACGAAAATAATAGAAAGGACATCTTTTACACAGTAAGGACGTCCTTTATAGCGGGAGGACGTCCCTAAACCACAAAGGACGTCCTTCGGCCTATATTCCCGTCCTTCGTCCCCATGTCCGTCCTTTCTCTTAAGAAATATGATTACAAAAAAAATAGAAGATCTAAAACAGTGTAATAAAAAAATCCATTGATATATTTATAATAATCCAGAAGTAAATAAGCTTCTGGATTATTATAAATAAATATTATAGTCGGGTGATAAAGGGGGTTAATTTGGGACAGAAGTAATTAATTTGAGTAAAAAACTATAAAATATAATTTATTTAACCATAAAAGTATTAGAAGGGTTTTTTCAATTAACTACTTTGAAGATAATAAAAGAAAACCATAACTTTCTATTTTTGATATTATTCAATCTTTGAAAACAATGGAAGAAGAAGAGAAAGGAACCCTTGATGAAACAACCACAGGCAATCAACACAAAAAAGCAATTCAAATACAAGAAACCAGTTTAAAAACTGTATTTCAATATATATTCATGATGTATATGGTTAAAATGCCAGAGTTTAATGAATTAACAACAGTGTCAATCCTTTAAAGTGTCAGGTAATCACTGAAAATCCATCATTTGTTGAAATCTTTCAATCTTTCGTTGTTGAACCATTCCCATTGAGAAAGGAAAAGAGAAAGACCATTTTAACACCAAAACAATTGGAGTTGAAGAAGAGCAAAAAAGAAATGAAACAAAGGAAAAATTCTTTAACAAAACAAGTTTCAGACAAACCACAAAAAGTGCTGCGTTTTAGACTTCCACATTTTTTAAGTGAACAAATTGAGGTGTTTTTGTTTATTTTTGAAATAGAAATTTATAATTATTCAATTTATAATCATTTAAAATAAAAAACTATAATTTATATTATTATTTTAATTTTATGTTTATTTTGACGTTTAAATAGATTTTTTAAAAATTATAGTTTCAAAATTATATTTATCAAAATTAACTACCTTTGTCCCTTTTTAATGCTATTTATCCCCCGACTATAAATATTAAATATAAGCTAGAAACTATAGATCTTAATGCTAATAATTATATTAAAGGTTGTATATTTTGTAAAAATAAAGGTAAATAAGAATTGATTAAGAAAAGACGCTTCGAAGATTGAGAATAATAAATCATAGATTAAGGCACTTGAAGCACAAAAGAAGATGGCATTGGACGACAAAACCGAGGATGAGAAGACTGCTGCGGATCAATCTGATAGAAGAAAGAAGATGGAAGACCAGTCAAAACATTCAATGCACAAGTTTCATCACTTAAAGTCCAAGTCAATGCACCGGCTTCTGTTGCTCAAGAAGAAAAGAAGAACATATTGAATGCAAGAATTGCTGAAATTCAAGCCCAACTAGATGAATAAAGACAGAATGCTGACAATACAGATGCTGCAAGAAAGGCTGCTGATAGCAAATTACAGGAAGTCCAGTTCAACTTAGATGAAGCAAATAACACTAAAGAAAAATTGACTAAAAGGCGAATGACTTGACGGTCCAAGTTGACAAGGCACAGAAACAACTTGACACCGCAAAAGATGACAAAGATGGCAACGAAGCAATGAAACAGAAATACCAAGACGAACTGAAGAGTGTTAGAACTGAACTTGATCAAGAAAAGAAAGACCACACTAAGACCCAATTGATTAAAGGAAAGTACGAGAAAGATATCGCTGAAATCACAGTCAGAGCTGTAACTCTTGAGAAGAACGTCCAGATGGCTGAAAAAGAGAAGTTCAAGACTATGAGAGATTATAAGACTGCTTCTGAAGAATTGATGAGAACAAAGACGGAACACAACGAAAAACAAGACAAATGCGACAAACTTGAAGACGATATGTCTGAGATGAAGACTGAATTGAAAGCCCTCGAACAAGCTGCAAAGACTTATAAACAGTCGAAGAACACTTACGAGAAGAAATTGACTGAGTTGAATGAGCAACTTGATCTTGAAAGAATAACTGCCCAACAAGCTAAAACACAGAAGAAAAAATACGCAGACAAAATAGTTAATATTATATATTGTCAATTGTAATTGTTTAATTATGTCTATTGATCTTTTTTTAGTTTTTTGCTTCAAAAAAATAAGTTGTGTTACCAAACTATTAAATTATAATTAAATATATCAACATTTGTGCTATTTGTTTTTAGATGAAAAATATTAATTATAATATGATTCTAATATAATTATATAGTTTGTAGTTTGAAAAAACCCATAATAAATAAAAATACCAAACTACTTTTCAATTAATATACTTCAGAAAGATACAACGGGACACAAAGAGTAGATATGCCGCAACTGTCGAAACTTGTTGAATTTGGCGAGTTGCGGCGTCGTGAATCCATCTCCGAAAGATACAAGACACAAAGAGGAGATGCCTGAAAAAAAGAAACATCAAAGATATCCCAATCGAGTGTTCATTCCAGTGTTAGGTTTGAAGGGTGAAACCCGTTTTCTTTCAGTCTATCCGGCCCTTCAAAAAGGACAGATTTTGTTAAAACTTGTGTACATTAATTTGTGTTGTGATGACGTGGCAAATTACAAATATGACACTTTGGAGTCAAAGTGTTGCAGAGTTTGATATAAAAAAACAAAATGACAAAAAGTCAGTTAAGTTGGAAGACAACAACGCTCTTTGGTGTAAAATTGTCATTATCAGTCAACTCGTTCTGTTTGGCGGTGTAAGTGTCTGGTTTGCAAAAACTTCCATTTTCACCTTTCTTGCGCACACCTATATCACAACCGCCACCACATAAAAATAGATATTGATCGTCTTGAGAATAAAGATAAAATTCATAATCGGTGTTAATTCCACTCTTTCCAAACTTTTTTGGATTCAAAGTGCCATTTTTCATAAGTGAAAATATGTAAGAACTGCCACTGTTGAGCCATTTGCTAACAGCATTTATATTACCAGGAAACACGCCACCAAACTTGTTGTGATTTGTGTCTTCTACCAAAAAGCACAAGTTGCTTTTGTTCATAACTTTATCAATAAACACAGAATTGTTTTGTGACCAATCGTCTTTGTCTGAGTCAAACACAACATTTCCAATCTTCATTCCTGTCAACTTCTCAAGACTCTCTTCTTCGAGTGTGATGTGTTCGCGTTTTATTCTTTCTGCTTCTTCTTCATCGTGTTGTTTCTTTGAATTGATGAATTTTTCCGATGTCTTTATTTGATCATCTTTAGTGTTTTTTGCTTGTATGATTTTATGGATTTCATCTTCAAGTGGTTTAATATCTATTTTGCACTTCTCTTCATAAAGTGCAATTTTGATGCTGAATATCTCATACAACTTGTTGTTGTTGCTTTCTGTTGAGTACAGACTTATCTCACTTTTGATTTTGTTTGATGCGTTGTCAAATTCGGTTACAATTGTGTTGAGTGAAGTTGTGATGTTATTCTTTCTTTCAAATACCTCATCGAGTCTGTCGAAGTGTCCCTCTGCATTTTCAATGCGTTGATCAATGTTAAGTGACTTGTCGTCAACAAAGTTGTATTCCCTTTTATTTTTGTTTAGGTCTGAAACCGCCTTTGCTGTGTTAGTGCAGAGTGCTGAGAGTGCAGTTAACTCGTTTTCCATGTATGTTAATTGAGTTATTTTATTTGTTTTTATATTTAATTTTATATAATCTCATTCAAAAACATTATTACCTCATTAAAACGATTTTTTTTTCAATTGAAAACCAAAAATAAAATCATTCAAACTTACATAAAATGATTTTAATTTTAAACAGGGTCCACCACGGAACAGAGAAAAATTTGGAACTTGTCCCAAAAATGCATTTTAAAATGAAAAGGGGTATATTTTATTTGTTTTTATGACAAAAATAAAGTAGTTTTAGTAAAATTCATAGTTATGTTTGTTTTTACGATCTTCAAAACCTTTTCTTTACAGATGGGGATTTTTTTCCTTGGTCAATTTTAATGTTAAAACGACAGTTAACAACAAAACTATAAAATATTAAAATGTATAGTATACAAATAAATGGTTTATTAATATAATATTTATATTATATAAAATAAAACTATTAATTATAATTTATAATATTATAAAATATTAGAAATTGTTTAATAACGATTAAATAATAATTTAACTTATTAAAATAAAGTTTGTTATTAACCATAACTCTTAACAAAGTAAAGTGAAATCAACCAGAACAAAGCTGTCACTTTGCGATTACTTGTTAAAATTGATTATTGTTGCTTTTTATCACTTTCAAACATCAGATAGTGGTTAAATATACCAAATTAATATAAAATGTCATAGAATGGACAATAATAAAATGTTGAATCATGATACTTGGTGTTGTTGATAAATTCAGGTTGTTTTATAAACGTGCAATACTTTGATAGAACAGAAGAGTTATTATTCGCAGAAAAACAAGTGAAACTACTCTGTTCATCATTAACGCATTAACAGGGTGTTTGAAACAAAACAATTTCAATTATCTTCATTCTATTGTTTAATCTTTTTGTTTATTTTATCAAAGCTATTATTGAGTCATATATTTACTATATTTATAAGTAATTTATTTACTTAAAAACTGTCAGTCAGTTTGTTTGTTGGTGTGTTTTAATAAAGATTATAATTAAATTATTTTAAATTAACAATCATTATTATAATTATTGGTTTTATTTATAAAATGTTAAAGAATATTATATAAAAGTACTATATAACAAGTCAGTGAAAAAAAATCTGGCTCGTTTTAAATTATAATAAAATATAATATTTATTGTTATATGTTATTAACATTTAAAATATTTCAAAAACAAAATGAAAAAATGAAAATAATTATAAAACTATTATTTCAAATTATTACAATTCACCTCGATAAAATTGATGTTTTGAATACGAAAACAAAGTTTCGTAGTGACAGAAAAATTATTGAAATGGCTTGCAAAAGCGGAGCTCCGAGACAGTGAATTCTTCGCAACGACATACAGCTGGTAAGATGGGACATATATGGGTGTTGTTGAGCCACAGCGTGATTCCGTTGGTGTTGTTTTGTATTTTTATTACTACTACACACAAATGACACAAACAACTGAACTAATCAAGGACGAAACAATCAAACAACGAATTAGAAATATGGTGAATTTCTTGTTGTATCGAGATTGGAACCATATTATTAAGCCAGACTATTCGATTTGGGAGGAAAGCATCGACGCATGTACCTTTTTAAGTGTCCCACTGCACTACTATGGATTCACACAAATTCATGTTAGCGGCTGCTATGATGGAAGAGAAGTATTATAAAAATACTAATAGAGCCGAATTACTGAGAAAGAGAGCGTTGACCTATCAACTTCATTTTAAAATTGTTTAAGAAAGAAGAGAAAGGATACTTCGTCCAAGTCATTTGGCACGACAACAAAAGCAGAAAGTGATCGTCGACACATCGACTGCAACTGTGGCGTTCAGTGACATTGTTACCGATCAAATAAAGATAAAAACACTTCGATAACATCAGAAAGTTCAACGTGGAATATTGGAGGAAAAGAAGTTGGTGAAGCAAGCCTACTATTGGGAGAAGCTGTAGACTAAATCACCGGCTACCCGATTATGCTGTCAATGCCTGATGTATACAAACACGCATGTGTCTGCGTCATGATAGCGCTTCAGAATCAACAACTCTTCCACTCTTTAATTATAAGAAGTGTTAATTTGGTAGTTTCGTAATTATTTTAATATTATAACATGTGTGTTAATATAAAATAACACAACATTAGTATTAGTAAAGTAAACCAATTAATATAAGTGGGAGGAGTCAACTGATACTCAATGATGATCATTGGAAAAGACTTTGCAAATGTCAAAGATTTCAAAGTTGTTATGATGGTCATTCGAAAATTCAATTTATTGAGTGAAATGTACCACTTTAATCCATCTGAGTACATTTAACACCACTCAAGAAAAACAAATTGTCCCAAAACATCGAGACTTGCCATTTCTACTCAAAAGGTGATTTTGACACATTATTTCCAAAAAGGTCATTCTTTATTAAATGACTTACGAAAACGTATTAGTCTTCCACAGAACATCGAGTGCATAAATGTTGTGTTTAGCCGAGAAGATGTCAACTCTTTGGTGGTGAAATACCAACAAAAGAGGTGCAGTCGTTGTCATCGTCATGTTTCAATTCATCAACTGAACAACTTCAGTCTGGTCTTAAACATTATCTGGTACCTTTTGGACAATAAAAATTGGGCTATTTGGGAAAACTGTGGCAAAATCCAGCCCAATTGTTTCGGGTTCTTTCACGTTTTACCTAATGCTTGTTGTTTAGACAACATTAAAGCTATTTTTTGTCCACCAAATAACGTTTGAGACTATATTGACATTAAAAGACTGACTCTATAAACAATAAAATATTATATTATTTAAGTTTTTAAAAATAAACATATTATTTATTAATAGTATTTATATTATTTTTTATAGTAAGTTGATATAATAAATTAACATATTATTGTAATAGTTTATTTTGTTAAACCTAACTGTTAGAACTATGGAACTTTTTAATTTAAAATTTTAATGATTACGCCCAAATGTTTGTTCTATTATCTATTATCATAACATTTTGATGTATTTTATAATTCCTTTGCTATCATTGTTGTAATTATTTTTAATAGACCAATTCGTGGTTATTATTGTATATTTATTTGATTATTTATCTTAATGAAAACACTATGTTATTTACTGTGTTACATATTCATCAAATCAAATAAGTTATAATTAATAATTAGATCAATACTTGTCACTTTAATGATTCATGAACATCTTGTACAGTCCCTGAAACATTTGCTTTGTCTTTGATTATTGCATTGTCTATTTGATAATCTTTATTTTCTTTGAGTTGCTTGTCCTGTTTTGAGTATTATCTTATGTCTTTGATTATTTCATTTCTTCTTTGAGTGTGTTGTCATGTCTTTGAACATCGCCTTATGTCTATGAGCATTATACTTTCTATGATATCATTGTATTATCGTTGTGAATTGATAGAGTCAAGTGTTATGGCTATTGTATTGTGTTATAATTGAAATTGTTTAAATAATTAATTATGGTTATTGTTAATAGTATGGTTAATAATATATTAATAATATATATTATTAATAAAATAAGTTATTATTTAAACTATAAGTTTATATTGAAATTTTTTTAAATATAAATTATGTACTAAACAATATAATTATTAATTAATACATTATTTCGATTTGTATAGTTTAAAAGTATAGTATTGATATTATATGTTATATAGTATATTTAATAATTAACAAACATTTTTGAGTTTTTGAGTTTGGTTATTATTATTTAATATAGTTTTAAAATATAAATATTTGGTTAGTAACGTTAAATATAAATATGAAAATAAACCTTTATTTATTATTATTGGTTGTTTTATAGCATTTTTAATTATTAATTAATGGCTTTTTAGCTTTATTATAAGTTGAATAGGTTTATTTTATTACATATTATTAATAAAAATACAATTATTTAATAAATTGTTATTTCATTGTTATTTGTGTTATTAAAATGTTATTTGTAACTATCGGGTTGATGTGTAAAACATTGCTGCATTTGTCACAATTTTTGTGTTAATTATGGCAATCACAGCAGTAATAAAATATAAACCGATATTTAAGAATTGAATTGGCTTGTTTTCCCATTACTTGGCCAAGTATTTATTCAAATAACTATCTGTTTCTAAGTTTTTTCTTATACAAAAGTCGGCTTTATACTCGTAGCTAGATCTAAAAGAACTAAGTGTACATAAATTCAAGACCACTTTGGTGACGTGGCAAATAACAGAAAAAAAAACACTTTTGTCACGTGATAGACCCTGTTTAATTCTTTTCATACCATATTAGTCAAGAATAGAGAAAAAGCAAATGATAATAACAAGTTGTATGGAGCTTATATTACTAATATTGAAAACAGTTTACACTCCAATCCAGTGAAAGCAAGAGAATTTTACTTAAAAGCTGAGAAGATATACACCCAAAACAAAAAATTGTTTGATGAAGCCGAATACTTTTATGAAAGTGATTTGATAGATTTGGACAAAACAATAGAAGAAGCTTGTTTCAGTCTTATTGTATCAAAAGCTGAATATGCAAGTGAATAGATGTATACTTTTAATGATGAAGTTGCACGAGAATGTGAAAGTAAAAGGGTGAGAGTTGATTTTAAAAATGTCATTCAGACACTTGCACAAATAGAGAATGAAACATATTATCCATTCAGTTGCAACACTTTGAGAGACAAACTTGGGCAAACAAATCCAAAAAATGAAGAAGTTTTTTATTTATTTGAAACAACACAACCACAACTCGACGCTATTTGTAAAAAATTAACACTATTAATTTACAAAAGAAAATTGAAAATGATCGACTTGAGAAAGAAAAAAAGAAAAGGAAGAAGCTGAAGAAGCCGATAGACAGTTAATGGCAAAGAAAATTTTTGAATATAACAATGAAGGGTATTATTTGGAGAACTTGGCCAATTTCCTTGAAAGAGAATTTTCACATGAAAGTCCTTCGTTCATTCATCCATACTCGAAAATAGCAGTTATAGTGAAACAAGCATATCTCTTCACTAAAACGTTTGTATCAGTTGACAACAAAGACATTCTGTGTATAAAAAGTCTTTATGAGAACATCAACAAAATAACTCTTGAAAACAAATTCAGTTTCGATGAAATCATTTTGTTGTTGGGAGCGGAAAGTGCGACGTATTATTCCGAACATCGATACAGTAATCAACATGATATTTTTAATAATAACATTCATAAGACTAAATTTAAGAAAATTATTAAATTGCTTGAAAACAACAAACGAGACACAAAGGAATTGAAGAAGAAATTTATGTTGGCAAGAAGCAAAGACAAAAAGCCCGAAGAAATTGAAAAGGAAAACGCACTTTTGGATTACAGAGAAATTAACTTCCAAAGTCATTTCAAAAATTATTTCACAGAAGACAACGAAGATGAAAATCCTGAGATGGTCACTTTGATGAAAAAGTACTTCAACTTCTGCTACAATGGAAATTACACATTCACTGATAAAAACATTGGAATTGTTAATCATCTGAAAAAGGACTTTTTAGAAAAGTTGGAAACCGTCTTTGGCTTACAAGAGGAGGGTTACTACGATGAAGCCAAAAACTCACTGAAAGATGCGTTGATCGCAAAGATCAATTTGGTCGAATTTTTGGATTTTGAAAACATAACAAGTCAACGAGAAAAGTTGTGGAGAACCTGCCAATTTGTGATTAAGATGGAGAAGATCTTATACTCACTTGGAGTTGCGTTTGAGTTCTTTGACTTAAAATACAGTGACCTCCCAAAAGTTCTGCAAGATGAAATCAAACTGTACAATTCAGTGATGTTGATCAAGGCGTGCAGTGTAGTTCAATATGTCAGATTTATGAATACTCTTGACAATGTCCATCAAGTGTATTTAAATTACAACAACAACTTGGTACTCAAACTGCAATCAGTCATACGAACATTGGCAACACAAGATTACGATATTACACACGACCCAATAGTCACTGAATATGTGAGACAATCAATGAATGAAACTGTTGTGGATAAGAGCAACTTGGTGTTGTATGAAAGTGAGTCAAAGTACACTGAAAACATGTTGAATATGTACAAGCCGATAATATCAGATGGAGTCTCTCTAACATCGTCGAAAAACAAATTGTTCACGTTGAATGCCGTCTCACAATTTTTGCTCTCCAATTACGCGTTCTTTGATGAGGTCACTGAATTTAGTCGCAACGTAAATGCTACACTATTGAACAAAGAGAACTTCGGCTTCATTCCAAACATTTTCAATTTGATCACATCAACTGTCGCAATCGTTAACAGAACACCACAAAGCGATGATATCTAGATTAAATGTCCTCGTTATCGATGGGATTATGAATCACACTTCACAGAAGAAATTAAAAGTATATGGACAATGGAAGTCAAAATGGCATACAACTACAGAGTTTTACTTATTAACACAAACTATTCAATAGTCAATTATTTGTTATGCAAAAATTGGAGTAGTCAATATGAGTACAACATCTTAATGATTAACACAGAAACAGATGGGTACTCCAAACCAAATTTCAATTTCAAAGCGAATGATGACTATGTTAATGAAACACATATGAGATGGATTGTTGACAACTTTGGTAAAACAGAAAGCAAACGAAATTATGAAATTCAAATGAAAAGTTGTGTGAATGCAATTTCTGGTATTATTTCATTTGCTGGATACCAACTTGACAGACCAAAAGTATTCCCATCACTCAACTATTTTGGAGCATCCGTTCCTATATGCAAATACACTGAGCATCTCACTGCTAGTGAAATTGAGACGAAAATTGATTCGACGATGTTTGTTGAGACTTTCAGAGTGTATTTCGAGAGGATGAGAGAGCAAGAGCGATATTATAAACAAAACAGTATCATGTCTAATGCAATTTTTGAGATCTTAAGAGATCGAATAGGACAAAATTTCAAAGAAATTTGTGTAACAAATATTGAAGGGTTATCAAATGATTTTATGAAAGAAAGATATGACCAATTTGTTGGGATATATGCAGACTGTGTCACATTAAATAACGATGACGAGTCGTTTGTAGTCAATAAAACGGTAAATGGATTTGAAGTGAAGGCGAAACTTGGTGAAAATGCCGTTGGAAATCGGTTGACGTTTAATTACGTCTTTAATAAAAAGTATGATAAAATGGGACTTTCTTTCGACCACGGAAAATGTGTGAAGAATGAGAACAATGTGTTTGTGTGGACTTATAAAGACTATAAAGCATTTGATCATACCGAAGAACTGAATTATCAATTCGAACAGAAGGACATTAACCTCCCAAAAGACTTAATTGTCATGATATCTTATATTGGTAAGATGGAATTGTACTACGACTTAATCAATAAAAAAGTTGAAGAAGACATTAAGCACGAAAGAATGGTAAATGAACACAATAGAATACAAGAAATGGAAAGATTGGAAAGAGAAGAATTTTATGGCAACATGGAATTACTTTCTTTAAAAATTCTTAAAAAAAAGTTTCTTTTAAGAATTTTTAACTATTTTTTCTTATTTTATTTGTGTTTTATTAAAACTCTAAAATGGTATAATAATCATTCAATTATAGTATTTAATTAAACAATTTTAATATAGATAATCAAACTATTATTTTATTAATAATAAAGTAATAAATTATATTATTATTATAATTATAATTATTTATAATTATTAACGACAAACGACCAATCAGAACAAAACCAAATTGACCAATCCAAGTGGATGGACCACAAAAGTCCAAGTGATTGGCCATTTTGATTTTGAAAGCCCGTGATGGGTATATAAGGCACACTGAATTGCAACACGACAATGAGTTGTGGGTGTGAGAAAAAGTGCAAATGTGAAGGCAGTGAAGCGATCACGTGTGGGTGCTGCTGCCAAGACGGGAAGTGCTGCTGTGACTTCAAATGCAAATGTGGTGCTGAAGGGAAGTGTGAGTGCGGCTGTTGCTGCAAAGAGGGAAAGTGCCAATGCAAGACATTTGCAACTGGGATGACCATCACTTGTGAATGCTGCTGCGAAGGATGCAAATGCACATGTGAGTGCAAATGTGGAGAGAAGAAGGTGTGCCAATGCCAGAAAGAAGCATCAAGTGGGTGCTGTTGTGGAAAGACATGCTAAGTCACTTTTTTTCATGTTTATTTGTTTGAAGTGTTGTTTGTATAATTGTGAAATGAAAATACAAATTTTAATAAAATGTGAAACCAAAGTAATGTATTGTGTATTTACATCTTTGTATGCATGTATTGTTTTAAGTATCAAAAATATGAACTTTTCTTGATAAATAAGTGAAATATTAAATTAATATAAATTGAAATATAAACTAAACTACTATAATCTTGATTATAAAAAGTTTTAATTATAACAGTAATTACATTTCAGACATTGACAAATCAATGATAGACGCAAATTTCGACATCGAAACCAGTTTTTATATATTTTATAAATGTTACAAACATTGAAATAATTAAAAAAACAAAACTGATATTAATGTTGAAAATATATGTAAAATATAAAGTTTCAACTCTCAGAATGAATTGAGAAAGTGTCTTTCTTAACGGTTTTATTTGATTAGTTTGTAAAAGTTTAATTATATAAATTTAAAAACATCAATAAATATATAGTTAGTTTTCTCTTAAAGTGGTCAAATAGTCAAACAAACAACAAAAATAATACAAACACAAAATACATACTAATTAGTAATTTCTCTGAATAGAAGTGTCATCACCACACTATTATTCAAAGTGATCTCTTTTGAATCTTTCTTTTCGACTTCGCAGTAATTCCAAATTGTTTGTCCAAGTCTTTTTATCATCTCTTTGTCCATAACAGACCCATCAGGAAGTATAATGAATACATTCCCACCAATCCCTTCCCGATTCTCTGTGTCATACATCACAACAAATCCATCTTCAAAAAGAATGTCTTCCAAAAGATGAATGCACTCCCGCTTCTTTTGACTTCTCACTTTTTGCAGAACCCATTTCCCACTTGAATTTTTCTTGTTGTAACTGGACATCCTCTCTTGTGCTCGTTTGGCAAGAAAACTCTGAACATTGAACACAAAAGAATACTCGTCGTTGTCAAAAAACACCTTTTGAATGTCGATGAATTTGTTGGAGTATTTACTCGGCTTCTTGAGGTGTCCAACAACAACACGTCTATTCATTGATATGAAAGCAAGCAGAGAGCACTGAAGATATGATAGCTGTGTTCGCTCATTTATACATTTGATCTTCTCGCTAACATGTGATAATGTTTCCATTGTTTTTGGAGATGGATAATACACATTTATAAATTTATTGATGGAGATAATTATTTACAATAAACTACCCAATTGATACACACCAAAAAATATTTGACATTATTTAAAATAAATCTGTAATAAAAATTTAATAAAACAACTATTGGTTTTAATATTTGATTTTGATTTTTATATTTTTATTTTTGTGTTGCTGAATAACACAGGAATTTATAAAATTGAATTTATGTTCTGTCTGCACAAAAACAGCCCAAACTCCGTGAAACACACCAAATATATAATTAAGTTTAGAATCAATTTTTATTGTTAAATATTTCACAGTACAATTTGTCGACTTTGAGGGTTTATGTTCCAAATTGTGTTATTTTTATAATTTTTATTTTTGTTTTGAAAATTCGTTTCAAATGGAAAAACAAAATAATATTTATGTTATTTTTTAATTTTTTATAACTATTTAAAATATAAATTATTTTAGTTACTTTATTGGTTAAATTCATACAAATACTCTGAATAACAGAACGGTTTGTTAACAAAAATAAGACGTTTTTATATTTATTTGAAACTAAATGAATTAAGTGTTTTGTCTGTTTGTTGGTGTGTTGTGCAATTAAATGTGTATAATTCATGAGATCAATTGCATTGTTTATTATTTTGGTTAAATACAATTAACAATGTATTAAATACAAATAATATTACAGTCACTTAATCTAGCATTATTAAAAACTTTCTTTCTGATTTTTTTTTTCAAAAAATAGTTAATTTAATCATAACAAATTTATAATCAATAGTTTATATATTTTCCAAATAATATTAAAACATTATTTGGAATAATGTTTTAATTTGGAGCAAATAACCAATTTGTTAATAATATAAATAATTTATTTTTGGTTTATATTATAGAAATAATGGAAAAACTATCTCAGAAGGCAGGCTTTTTCCATAAGGCTTGTTAGATAAACTGTAACACATAAAAATGTATTTAAAATATCAAGTTTAGTTAAACAATATGATAAATTCCATGTCATTTCAAAAAAAAATATCCTATGTTTTAAATGTTGATAAAACTAGATTCTATTTTAATTACATGTTAAGATATTCAGTTAGCCAAATAATTTTCAGAAGGACGTATTTTCCATCAATTACTTTATAAATTAAATGGAAAAAGGATGGAAAAAAGTTCACCAAATAATACTCTAACATTTAAATCTATTTTAAAATAGTTTTTAAATGAAAGTTTTAAAACTATTTGCTTTACTTCTTTCAATTATTTGGTCACTGACTTATTATGCCAACTTAACAACATCCTTAATTAAATTATTTTTAATAAACGTCATTGAAAACAATCATTATTTATTTGTTAATTTAAATGTTATTAATTGTTCAATTCGATATGTTAAGTATCATTATTAAATAATTACACAATTATTTTTTGTATAATTTAAAATTTTAAAGTACAAATAAACAAAGTAATACAAAAGTCGTACTAAGGTTTAGACCAGAATTATGGTTTCGACAAATAATTAATAATTTTTATAATACTGTAAAAACTAATATAAAAAGTTATATTTATATATAAACTCTTTTCAATAATTCGTCATTGCCCTCAATGAGAGGTAAAAAAATGCAATTTTCACCTAAGATATTTAAATTTAATATATTTTTATTAGGTGTGGTTATATGAAAAAAATAATTTTTATGTTGAATTAAAACAAAAAAGTGTATGACCTCTTTATTATTTTGAAATTTATTTTATCTCCCTGTTGTTTTTCCTTATCCATAAAATCGTCATTATTTTTACTATTTTTAGAAACAAAGAAAATTGTTTTTAACACTAAAAAATAAAAACAATTGTTTCACATTTTTATTATGATTAAAATATTGAGTAAAATGTATTTCATTATTTATATTAAAATACGTTTTGGATATAATTGACGTAATTCAGTCTAATTTAATAAAGTAATTTGATTAATTGTTAATATCGAGTAAATATGTTCATCATTAAAATTTAGTTGAATTATAACTTGGTATTTTAATTAATTACAGATAATAAAATAAACAAATTTGAAGAAAAAATAACAAGTTGAAGTTTCAAGTCTTCATGATATCATGATGTGTCAATTTGTAAACAATTATTGTTGGAGTGACTTACTTGAAAATACATCGATCTTCAAACAATTTTTGACCTAAAAAGTTTTATCGTTTTATTCATTTTAAAAATAAATGTGTTGATATAAATTAAATAACTGGAGAAATTTTGACAAAATCAAACAACTATTGACTCAATAATATATAAAAAGCAAAATATAAAGATGTGTATCAATATAGGAATTATTAAACAATACAATATTCTTCCATTTTATACAATTTAGTATTAAACCTCCATAATAACCAAAACGTTATAAAAGCAATACAATAATTAAAACGAAATCAAAAGGGAAAAAAATATGCAACACAACACCAATGTGCACAAATCAAAATACAGTAAAACTTTTCAAAAACGGTACTTTTGAAAAGAGGATTCTCTCAAAAGAGGGTATTTTTCAAAGAAAATAAAAATTTAGTTCTTTAAATAGCGGTAATTAAGGTTTGATTGATAAAAATCTACACTTTTTAAAAAAAACAAAATTACCACACCCACCCGCTTTTTAAAGTTTTTACTGTACACTTTAGTTTTTGAATAATAAAAACGTTTTATCATTAAAAATTGGCCAGCTTCGAGTTGTGACTTAAATCTAATTGAGCATTTGTAGTAATAATTGAAATATAAATAATAAATAGATAATACAAGTAATGAAAACAATTTATAGCGTGTCATGTTGTTTGTAAAAAATACATCAAAAATATTAACAAGTAAGTTGAAAGTTATAGTGAACGGATGAAATTGTGCACAAGAAAAAATTACAAAAATATTTCAAGACTAATGACCAAAGTACTTTAAATTATTTTTAATTGTTATAATATTTTTCACAAAATCGTAACTGAAAAAAATGACGCTTTTATGAAACAAGTTTATTTGACCATTTTAATAAAAACTAAAAAATTTGTTCATAATTATCCAATTAGTATTTGAGTAGCAAGAAAAAACCTTAGCTCCACATCTGCAAATTATATTTTTGAATGATAGAGCTAAAGGAAATTTTTACTTATATGAAAATGGGATAATACACAGAGACACAAAGCCCGACATTAATTGATATTTTATATAAAAGGTGATGTCCAGAGTAATGCAAATTTGACTGAATTTAAAATGAGTTGAAATATTAATGTGCTGATGATCAATATAACATTAACTAAAGGCGTACAAAGTCAAAACATATGGCGCCCGAAGATTGAAAAAATGAACACAACAAAAACCATCATATATATACTTTTTGCTATTACAACGTACAAATGTTTTGGGTGGTGTAATGATACCCCAAAACACAATTCAGGTTTCCATGGAAGATCACAGAGTTTGTCACTGCAAGTAAAGGTCTTGAATGGCAAAATTATATCTCAGTTGATAGATATAAACTCGTAGATTAATGTTGGAAACAAAAAGTAAGATAAAGATTTTTAAGAATGAGGTGGTTGAACAATTGGTCAAGTTATTAAATAATTGTAATTAATTTGTTGTTTTGTAATTAAATTTAAAAATATAGACAATAAGTACGATATAATTTATATTATTAATATAAATGTATAATTGTGATTTCTTTGTTAGAAAATATACATTATTCATTTTAAATAAAACTAATATTTAGTTTCTCAATTTAACGTTAATCAAGACCATCATTCCAAATATTTTTTAGATTAAGTTCGAGTAATAAAAAACTTCAGTCAACATATTTCTGTTTTTGAATCAACATCATCAATTTCA